CAAGTAGGCATGCTCAATTTCATGAAAAGCACAAAACATTTCACTTCAAATCAGTCATACTTATGTAAAACGGGTTTAGTCCCGCCACCACTTCAAAAACAAATCAAAACATGCTTTTAAAACAGTACGGGCATTACCATAAATTACTTACCTCACTCGCATAAAACTGAGCACTCAATCTCAATGCTAACTGACAGAACGATCAAGAACCTAATCAAAACATCCAAGAATTAATATCGGACTATCACAAATTCAAGCTGAAATCATCATTAGGATCATTCCTAATCACAATGCTATTTCTATCACTTTCCACATGATCGGACATCTCCAAATTCATTCTCATATCACAAACTAATCATTTAAATTCCCGTTAATAGTTGGCCCTCGGGGTGTGAACAGTAACAGGTGAACAGTGCCTTGAACAGTGACCCCGACGTGAACAGTAACTCCACTCCCACAAATTGGCCAAAACACTAACTAATCTCACGGGATTTTCTCCAAAAATCACAGCAACTAATCAAGCTAATTTACACTTAAACCAAGCTTAAAAACATAGCTTAAGCTATCAAAATTCATCCCCAATTTCTGCAAACTTTCGGACATCACAGGGGCAGCCAATCCATGGACAAAATTCAACAATTAAAGGGGTAAATTAGGACTTAGAGAAGCTGCCACATACCATAAATCCAGCAAGCAAAACCGGAGCTGCAGGGGGGAAAAAGGCCGGCAGCAAGCTGCAGGGAAAGCTCACGGGTTTACCCAAAAATTGGAGGAAATAAGAGCAATCAAAGTTAACCCAAGCCAATTCAAGCAAGAACAAAGGAATTAGGGGCTGTTCTTACCGAAAAAAATTCCCAGAAATCACCCACAATCAAGAGCAGCCGGCGGAAGGACAAAGCAGAGCAGGGCAGATCCGTCTTTTCCAGCAGGGGGGAAGATTTCTGGGTTCTACATGTGTTGTAGAGCAAGAAAAGAAGGAGAAATCCAAGCTTATCTCACCGGTTTCTCAAAGGCATGGCTGGGTTCCCCTTTCTTTTTTCCTCTCGGGCTGCAGCGGGAAGAAGAGCAGAATCGGGTCTGAGGAGGAAGAAAAGAAAGAAAGAAAAAGAAAAAGAAAAGAAGTCATCCTTATCCAAAATCTTTCCCTCTTTAAGTCCCTCAACTTTTGAAATATTCACATTAGACCCCAAAACAATCTTTTCTCACAATCAAGTCCCTAACTTACACTTAAATATTCCCGAAAATTTGGGATATTACATTGGGCGTGACCTTAATACCACCATAAAAAAAAAAAAAAAGAGTACATAGAAAAGGAATAAACCGAATCATAAAAAAATTCCTTCTTTTTTTCATTTTTTTTTTACTTTAGTTTCCCTACGAGCCTCTTATGAATATGCCTTTCATTTAGTTTTGTCTCATAGAGTACTGAAGTTGGCAATATATTGCGTTCGTTAGGTTAGACATCATGGACTTAAAATTTTGAATCTTTCTAAATTCCTTAAGCTAATAGGAAGATGGAACGTACACTATGAATCCTTGTGAATTCTCAAGTTTCAAACAGCTTACATCTTTACAAGTCTGTAATGTTAGCAAGTTGACTTATCTCTTAATCCCATCCATGGCAATGGGACTTTTAAGTTGACATACAGCCACCTGTTGATTCCAACTTGTCTCAACATTGTCCCCAAAATAATGAAAGCAGAAATGAGTTATCTCATATAATATAAATGTCTCGACAATTGATGCCTCTACATGATTTTTATTCCCTATGATACTTTTAAGTTTGTGCATGCGTCTAAAAAAGGACACTGATAAAATCAATTTTAAAAAAATTAATCAATAGTTAGTTTTAATATCATCAATATCTTTACATGTTTTACCTTTCAAATGGGTACATCCAACGAGATTGAACAAAAACACCAACTCTGGCCTCATATGGAAGATAATTTGCTAGATGCTCCATAGAATCAAAGAATGTTGGGAGGAATATTATTTCTAACTTACAAATTATTTCAACAATCTTTGCCTCCCACTTTTGCATCTCAATAGGTCTGATGATTGGGGAACAAAGTGAATGAAAGAAGTTACTAATGTAGTCAAAGGACCCCAAATAGCAGATGACAATTGATCGCGAAAAGAAACTAGAATAAGTCGTTGCATGAAAACATGACAATCAAGACTTTTTATTTTAAGTAACCTGAACTCATTCAAGTTGACACATCTTGATATGTTGGAAGCAAATCCATCTGGATAATTAATTATTTTAACCATGCACATAGAAGCTTCTGTTTTTCAGAGGTAAGTGCATAACTTCACAAGCTTACCATTCCTATCATATCCCATGTGAAGTTTTCCTCAATCACAATAAATGACTAAATCCAATCTTGGTTTCACATTATCTTTTGTCTTATTGTCATCCATAACAATGTATATTATATTATCAAAGAAATTTTTTTCACAGTGCATTATATCAAGATTATGTCAAATAAGATTACCCTGCCAATAAGGAAGTTCCCAAAAATGCATTTTTTCACCCAATTATGGGTGTTTCCAAAACCCTCAATTGTTTGGTTTTCAAAGGGCTTCTCAAACAACACATCAGGAAGGTTTTCAACTTGATGATACATTGAAACACCATCCAATTGAGGAGGTTGACTACCAAATTCCTTCAAGAAATTACTTTGATCAAATCTAAAAGGATGTGATTGGGGTAAAAACTGATGATGAGAGTAAAGAAAAACATGGTTTCTAACCATTTTAAAGATAAAAAGATTGTATCATCACCATACAGTAAGGACAAGACAATTGGCCATGAGTGCTCCAACCAGACACCATACCATAACTGAAAAATCAGTTATGGTCTGCATCAACGTAGCCCACATGTTTTGCTTATGGTAACTATCATATGTTTCTACACCGTTCAACCATAACATTTTCAAGTCCTCAATTAAAGGTCGAAAGAAAACATTGATATTTTTACCTGGGCTTTTTGAACTTGCAATGACTAATGTAAGAAAAGTAAACTCTAGTCGCATGCAGATCTTTAGCGGCAAATTATAAACAGTAAAAAAAATTGGCCAACAAGAGTAGGGGGTTGAAAAATGAACCCATGGGTTGAAATCATCAGTAGCAAGACCTAATCAAACATTATGAGGTTCTATTTTAAAAGAATGATGCATTCAATAAAAATGTCTCCATGCTTTTGATTGTGCTAGATGAATGGCCTTATCTATATCGCCACACCATTTCAAATGCCATGTCACGTGCTCAACTATTTTTTGAGACATGTATAACCTTTGAAGGCGGGGTATTATTGACAAGTGCCAAAGAGAATTCTTTGGAATGTCTTTTTGTTTTTCCTCCCTAGATTTCTTTGTTTATACCTCGCTTCTCCACAAATTGGACATGTAGTCAATGTCTTCATATGCACCCTCTAGTAGAAAAAGTAGTTGTTAACACAAACATCAATTTTTAAATAATCTAACCCAAGCCTTTCATAAATTTTTTTACTTCATAAAAGTTTGTAGGAACTTTTTCCTGATCTTCAACACTTAACAGCCTCTTAGATCCTTTGATAATGGCATTAAAAGCACCACCAATTATATTATTTGTAATCTTTGTGTGCAATATATAAGAGAGCCAGTTGAGCACTATCTCATTTCTTTTAGAATTACCAAGTGGAACTGTAGATGCATGAAACAAGTCATAAAATGCCTTGCTTAATTGTTTGGTTCCTCGTCCAAATGTTGATGGGGGAAATTACCTTCCATTCCCCGATAATCATCATTTTCTAAACAAATTGCATCATACACCATTTCACAAGTCATTCGTCCAAATGTTGATGGGGGAAATTACCTTCCATTCCCCGATAATCATCATTTTCTAAACAAAATGCATCATACACCATTTCACAAGTCATTCCTTTCATCATGGTGTGTATTTTGACTGTGTGATGATTCTCCTAGAATAGTAGCAGAGCATGGATTTATTGAATTTATAAATGTCTCACCATGCTCCCACCAAAGAGAATAAGCATTCATAAAACCATTCTTAGTAAGGTGATCCCATACTATTCCCCGAGTCATCAACGGTAAATTAAAGCATTTAGTACAAGAACATTTGATTAAATTATTCGGTTCTAGACCAAGGCTACTGTATGCAAATTGAAGGAAATATTCAACTCCATTATAGAACTCAACATACATTTCTCCTCGTGGAGTTCAACATCTATACATCCAACTACAATCCTACATAATCTTATTAAATGAATAAAATAAAAATAATAGTATGATTAGTTTCAAAATAATTATAATATCTTTCATATATTTTATAGTTGGTTAAAATCCCAATTTATCATACATATATATAAATATGTTAAATTTATTCATCAACAAAATTTATCATACACAAATTATTAAATTTTTATTTAACAAAATAAATAAATATTTAACCATACAATAATAAAAATATAGTGAAAAATGAAACTTACTATATAAGGAGGATCCACGAGGGCTAAAATATTAACGTACAAAATAATTATTAAAATATTAATTTATATATATTTTCACAAAAAAATTTATTTATATATGCCATTAAATTATAAAAATTACATTGAAAATTAACATAATAGAACTTAAAACAAATACAACAATAAAATAAGATCAATTATTAAATTCCTAAAAAATTAAGCTAAAATACCAAATTTAATCCCTAATATTTTAAATTTATACCAAAATTATCCATAAACTTTAATTTTCAATACCAAAATAGTCCTTATGTTAACGAAAAGTGCCAGTTGATTCATTATTTTGCCACAAAATCAGTTTTGTAAAAATATTGATGACATAAAATTAAACAATTATATTTTACTATCATGATACATTTTTAATTGTATATCAGATTGATATGTAATTAACGTTGAATGATTAAATTGGTACTTATAATCAAAGTTTGAAGGTCTAAGCTGGTACTTGTCTTTAAAGTTTAAGGTCTAAATTGGTACTAAATCAAAGTTTACGGATTATTTTGGTTCCAAAAATTAAAGTTTAGGGACAAATTTAGTACTTTTAAAGTGTGAGGATAATTTTGACATAAATCTGAAAGTTAAGGGACTAACTTAGTTCATTAACCAAAAAATTTGGTCCCTTAACTTTAAAATTTTGCATAATTTTAATCTCTCAAATTTTTATACACTTTTTTAATTCCTTAACTATGAAAAATAATTTTTTTAGGATTTTCGTTAGCTAATCCATTAAATTTGTCTAAATAAGCACATTTTTTGTCCCTCAACTTTATGTTAAGAGACTAAAAATATATATATTAAAATAAATTTAACAGATTAATTGACAAAAAAAGTTTTAAAAAATACATTTTTTTGTAGTTAAGAGATAGAAAACTGTACAAAAACATTAAGGCATGAAAATTGTGTAAAACCTTCAAGGGACCAAAATTCATATTTAACCTAAAATTTACTCAAAATAACAAATCTAATAATACTAATATCAAATACTTATTACTAATTCACCATTAATTCTTGAAATTTCACTAGAAAATTATTAAAAATTTATTGATAACTATACATAAAATTTAGCTAAAACAACAAATCTAACGATATTAATATCTAATGAACTAATGACAATATTTTGTAGTTTAAATTTCAAAAAAAATAAAATATACAAAAAATATTTAAATTTAATGTAAAAATATATAAAATAATAATAATATTACATAAATTTCACTAACCATTGCTTGATCCACCCACTGTAAGAAGAAAAATGTTAAAGTGATTTGAAGGAATGACTGGAGGAAAGGAAAGTAAGAAACTACTTGCTGCTGAAAGAGGAAGATGAAAATGAAAGGGGAAGGGGGGGTTCGATCGGTAGGTAATGTACCGACCAAATTCACGTTGCAAAGTTGTAAAGTTGATCGTCTCTGCACTGCTTCAGGATTCTGGTTGACCAGGGCCATCACCGAGAAAATTCTGATTGCCAATAAAAACTTACCGACATGAATCTTGTCGATATATGGTGAAAAAGCTACAAAACCTGGCACCAGCAGCTGGATTCACGAGGTGGGTTGCAGGATTGGGAAATTACTGACATGTTCTTTGTCGGTAAATTTACTGAGAAAAATATTGTTGCAAATGTCACAATGTACAGATGTAATCTTCATCGGTAAGTGGAGTTTTGATCCGGAGCCACCGAAGTGAATAGTGCACAATGTTACCAACAAGGAGCACATGTGTATAATATAAATTTATTGAGGAAATTTTTGTCTGACCTTTTAATAATATAAATTACTCTTATTTTAACTGTTTATATCTGTGCATACAAGTTTCTTGTCGTAAGATGCTGATTTATCAACAAGAATTCTTGCGTCGGTGATATAAGGTTTTCTAACCGCTGGTGACATTCAAGAATGCTTCACATCAAACGCATAATAATGTGCACAATTGTTTTATTTAAAATATGTTCTTAAATTCTATTTTTATTGATTTTAGGATTTATATTTTAACAATATTTTACCAAAATAATTTAACATTATAAACAATTTATAAGACTGTATTTACACTTTATTAAAAGTCTACGTTTATCTAACTGAAATTTTTACAACGGTAAAATGATACGAAATGCCAAGATGCCCTGCTGATAATTGGGATGTTGAGAATTTTATTGGAAAGAAAATCCAATGAAAAAATCCAAAAATTGAGAGAAAATTTAAATAGAGTTAAATAAGCATTGAAAGAAAAAAAAATAATATATTACTAAATATATTCTCATTTAATCTGCATTCTCCATATAGACAGTAAATTTGTAAAAATAACTATCATCTAAAATTTTGCTTAAAAATTGAACTTGGAATAAAAATGAGTTTATAACATATCTTATCAAGTGACTTAAATATGTATAAAAAAAAATCAAGCACAAAAATAGTAGAAGCATTAAAGGAAAAAGGAAGTTTATAAACTTCTATCCTTTCCTTTCAACAAATCTAACTAAACTATTTCAGCTACTGCTATCTCAATTCCATCCTGAAGCTTATAGGCTATAAGTTATAGCTAGTCTGAAGTGATCTCAACCCCACCATTCAGTCCTGAGGCTTCATACTGGTCTCAACATATTAAGTCCCCAAATGCATGCCTCACAGGGATTGGAATCTGTAAAAATGTACAATAAATATCCCATGAGCATAACAGCCAGCAAGTAAACAAGCATCAACCTTAGTTCTGGTTGATCATAAATTAAATCTAATAACAAGCACAGTTTACATTTAGCAGAAATTTCAAATAACTTCTCAGTATTGGATCTCCAACTTCAAGCTGAGATCACTCAAAACCGGCTGCACACGTTAGAAACAGTAGCTTAACCCCAGTGGAATGAGCCAGAAACAGAATAACAGATACAAATAACATACTTGTGACAGAACAAACTTATCATCGAAAACAAGGCTGGGCCAACAATTGACCCCATTCCCAAAGTCAGACCCTTTATTTCTCATTTCAAGCAAGTAGGTTTGAAAATTTCAACTCAAATTTAGCTCATTCCTTCCCATGTCAAAATATTCAAGTTGGAGAGACATCAAGATCAGAAAATAATACTGTCAAGTGTGTTATGCCCTGCCCCTGCTTAAATTCTTGCTAGGGTCTCTGTGTTGTAACAATATCCCAAAAATTTTCCAAACCTGGTTTAAAACCTTCGTCTGTTGCAATACAAGCAAAGAACATGTACACGTTAATTTGTCCTTGGTTAAATTAATTAACAAGAAATATTATTTCAAGAATGTGATTAAAGATATTGAATAATTCTATTTTTCATGCACAAACAATTCATTCTGTGCCACCAAAAAATCACCAGATTAGTGACAGCAGAGGAGGAAAGGTCGCTCATTAACCTGCACTATTTATGATTAAATGCAGGAAAAGAGATAAACATTCAAGAAATTTCTCACCTGATCTTGAAGTTTCAACCTTGATTCTTCATTTTCTCTCCGTATTTGGGATAAATATAGCCTACTTTTTCTGTCAGTAGAAGACGTTTATGTTAGTTTAAACACTTAATATCAACCTGTAGATGGAATATAACTCGCTCAACTAAGAATTTAAGCTTATAAACTTAGATCTTAATGGTTCTAGGCTTAGGGAGTATATATATATATAGTTTAAGGGCGTGTTTAGTATAATAATTAAAGTTTAATGGATGACAATAACTAGTAGCGGGTAGTGTGTGCAATCAGCATATAGCGGGTGGCAGATCATGATAAATAGATAGTAGATAATAAATAATGGATTTGGATTAATATAATTATTTAGTTATATAATGATTAATAGTTGTTAATTAATGTTAAATAATTAATAATGACGTGCATGTTTGAAAGTAATTAAGTATACTTTTTAATTTTTTATTATTATTAAAATTATTAATTTATAAAAACAAAAATAATAAGAAAATAAATAAATAAAATAAATTATAATAGTGTAATTACACATTCATTATATCTATTTTTAACAAATAAAAAATTATTTTATTTTTAAATAAAAAAATTTTGATCATTTTCTCTAATTAGTAAATTTTATTTATTAAGTTAATATAATTTTCTCTTTGAACATGTACAATTTTGGGGATAGAGGAATAGGGAATTTTAGCATGACAGTGTCATGATTTGAACCTTTGTCATTGTCAAGGCGTTGGTGCACCTAATAACTGGTTTATGAGGCCTAGTGCTAAGTTAATATAATTTTTTATGATAAATTAATGTAAAAAAAAAATATAATAATCACTCAATGTTATTGAAAAGAAAAAATGAAATTGAAATTTAAAAAATTAAAATGAATAAATTTGTTAATAGAATTAAAAATTTTTAATCTGCTAACATTTTGATATAATTAAAAAGCTAGCTATTTGAATCTTAGCTACTATCCACTAATCCCAAACTATTAAATAAAAAATTTTACCAAATACTTATCCTTAGTGGTTTGGACTAAACCACTAACCACTACTCTGAAACCATTATACCAAATAACCCTAAGTTTTATTTGCATTCCAAGCAGAAGTAAATTAAGAAATTAAAAATATGTTGATATTACATGTGAAAAATATTTTTAAGATGGAAAAAAATACAAAACATATATAATAGGACAATGATTGGTACACCATCTAGTTTAACATAGTCATTAAGAAACTAATATTTTTAAATTTGAATTAAAAGCAAGAAAATTTTTAGAGACAAATTTTAATGATTGAATTGGTGGGTATTTACAAGTGTTAAACTGGAGGATGTGTTAATCATTTTCCTATATAATATTATTGGTAACATTTGTTTCCTGAATGAAGGTATACTTATCAAGTTCAAATATGATATCTTTCCCACAATAAAAGCAAAACTCAAAACTTTAAACCACTATATATACCCCATTTAGATTCTAAATAAGGGATTTTAACAAATTCCTTTTCTAAAGGACCTTTTCATTTAAAAAAACGTTAATTTGATTGTAAAACAAAAACTTTTCATTGTAAAATACTGTTTTTTTTTAAATCCCTGCTTCACATCCTCAGTTTCCTTTACGTAAACTATAATCTCTCTTCCTCCTTGGCAAAAAGGAGGGATTCGAAATTCCTTCCTCGATATTTCTTCATATGAAATCCCACTTTTGAATCCAATTTTGCAGACCCAAGTTATAGAAATGTGGTCTAGTGTTTTAAAGATATTTAACAATGATAATAGAAGTTATGAAACTTAAGGCTTGTTTGATATAAAAATTATAGAAATGTAGTGGATAGTAAGTAATGAGTAGCAGATACTGAACAGTGGTTAGTGGACGGTAATTAATGGATAGTGAGATTAGTGGGCAGTAGTTAACGGATAGTGAGTGATAAATAATTAAAAGTAGATAATAAATAATAAATAGCAAATTTAATTGATATAATTATTTGGTTAAATAATAGTTAGTGGTTATTATTTAATAATAATGACTAATAAAGATATGTTTAAAAAATTAAATGTATTTTTTCATTTTATATTTTTATTATTAAAATTATTTATTTTATAATAATAATAATAATAAATGAATAAATAAAATAAATTATAACAGTATGATCAAAACTCATTTCTATTTTTAACAAATAAGAAATTATATTATTTTTAAATAAAGAAAAAAAATTCTAATCATTTTGTATATTTAACTGATTTTATTTATTAAGTTAATATACTTTTATAATAAATTAATGTAAAAAATAAAAATATAATAATCATTTAATTATATTAAAGATAAAAAAATAAAGTTAAAATTAATTAGATAAATATTAATTAAAACTGTGGCTAAAAATTAAAAAATTAAAAAAGATAAATTTGTTAATAAGATTAAAAACATTTCAATCTGCTATTCATTTTGTATAAAAAGCTATGCTATTATAATTAAGTTTATTTTTTTATTTAAAAATAATATAATTTTTATTTGTTAAAAATATAAATGAGTATTTGAGTCATAAACTTAATTTTTTGTTCCATGATCCGCTATTCATTATCTGTTGAATTTAAATTATTATACTAAACAGACCCCTAAACGAACTTTTTTTAATCCACTAGCAATTTAAATTCTAACTGTTATCTATTAGTCACAAACTGTTAAATAAAAAGTTTTACCAACAACTTATTTGTAGCAATTTCAAAATATACAAATTTATTAAACACTTATTTTTAACAATTTGAATAAAACCATTCATTATTACCCCTAAATCACTATACAAAACTGAGTCTTAATTTCGAAAGGGAATTATCCCTTGGGTGCCAAAAATACTTGCAACACGTGCTTTATGAAAAGAAAGATTTACCAGACAGTGATGGAATCAATTAGCTAAAATAAGTTATCTAAAAAAAAAGAGCTAAAATAAGATAATCACTCACCGTCAGACAGTCGGTTCTGAGCAGAAACCAAAGAAGAAACAAAATATTTACTAGTGTCAATACAAGAGGCATTACTTGAAGCAGTACGGATCGTGGTATATTCTCTCTGAGGAAATCAATAAACTGCAATGATAGGCGAAGGTATGTTAAAGGTGAGATCAAGAATCGCAGGAAAAGAAAAAGGCTTTTAATTATAAAGTAACTTATGAAGTTAGCAAAGCCTTTCCATCATATATATCTTAAATAACAGCACAAGTAAGGAAAACTTCCAAAAAAAAAAGAGAAAACTGAAAAGCCTTAGGAAATCTTATTGAACCAATGCACACCTTAAATATGCGCGGGAACCGCACAATGGCGGGCAAAAATATTATTGTGTAGTTGAGGTCGAGGATTAAATAAAAATCATCCTCTCCATCTGCTTCTGTCTTCACTTTCCCTAGTTCTTCTGTCTCCACTTTCCCTAGTTTTCCTGTGCTCACTTTCCCTAGTTTTTCTGTTTTCACTTCTCCATTAGAAAAGATTTTCATCTTTGGACACTCTCTCACAATCACTTCTTTCAGAGATGGGAAGCCAAAGTTGCACTTTCGAGAGCAAAAGCTTTTAAAACTTTGTAGAGAACCAAGACTCAAAGATCTGAGTTCCGCGAAAACAATTTCATCTTTCACCTCAGAGAAAAGGTTTTCTAATGCGGATAGAAGTTTGACTAGGAAGGACATGATGAGTGAGATACATCCATCTTGGGCTCCCCTAGGGTCTTTTAGAGACTCTAGTCGTTGTTCAAGATAACGTCGCAAAGGTATGATGATGAGTTTGGGGAAATCCGTTTCATCTTTCAGTCCACTGTCACATGCTACAATTTCCTTTAACTGTGAACAATCAGTAATGCTCATTGTTGACAGCTGCTCCAATCTCTTAGCCATTGTGTATGTCAATAAAGTTTTGATTCCATTACATTTTGATACTTCCAGAGTCCTTAATTTCGAAAAAGATTGCTCCTAAAGAATAAGAAAAAAACCTGATGAGTCTTATTTCTCTTTTTCCTTTTAAAAGGCAGAATAAAAATATTTTCATTAATCTGAAGAAGAAAGAAGACTGAGCTGGTCAACTCAGGAATCTCATACCACACAGAGAGGGAAATAAAAAGAACAGTTCCTGGATAGAAATCACAAAATTATCATAAACAAACTACACTTGCAGTTTAAACAGAGGAAGAGAGAATAATCTACTGAAAACAAGAAAGAAACAACAGAAACAACGCTACTACACACAGCCTGGACAACACAAGGCGTGAAACTCCAATTGGTTAGTGACTGCAGAGAAGTCATTTGGACCTTCAAGCCCCTATTGATTTAATTCTTATCTTCTAAATATTTAAAATTAAATGATCAAGACATACAAATAAAAGGTCTCAATTCTTTCCCCTCCAGGTTTTTCAAGAACAAATCTAAGGCCGAGGGTTAACATATATTTTCTGTGGTCGTACCTTATTGACCCAAAATAGGGGACGCTGATTCTGGCTTTCAGGCTGGTTGTCCTCGCTTTCCCAAACAAATACCTGCACTTGGTGACATTTACTCACATGCAAACTTGTCAATTCTGACCATTCTGTAGTATTAGGTAAGAAACTCTCTAAACTGGATAGGTTAGAAAACCTCAGGTTTATTAGTTTGGGAAGTAATGTAGTGGCTGGTTGAGCATGTAATTTAGAGCAAAATCCTGTGAGTTTTGGAAGGTTTTCAAGCTCCACACTGTTGAGATTGGGAAACAATGGCCAGGAGATCCCGTTCTCTTCTGCAAAGTCCTCTGTACTTATTACCTCTTTCATCTCCTCACAACCGCGTATTACGAGCTTTCTGAGTTTTGAAAGACTTTGAACCATGGAGAATGTCATTAGATATTCGAATCTGCCACAGCAATCCACAACCAACTCCCCCAAGTTGGAAAACTCAACCTGTAAAGAGAGTTCTCCTTCTGTTATCATTTTGTCTTCTTCTATTATTCACTCAAAATAAAACAATAATATTTGAATTGAATGCAAGTTCTTTTTTTTCTTTTTTCTTTTTTTTTAAAAAAAGAATATTCTTCAGAAAGAAACTGACCTCGCTGAAAAAGGGCTCAAATGGCTTTTGCTCTTGGTCCCTTGAAATGGTAGAAGCAAATGCAACCATGTTTTGACAGTTAATAAATTTTAGCTGTTGGAGTTTAAACTTATTTCCTGACCGTCCAGGTTTAAACACCTTTACTGAACTGCATTTATGTATTTCCAACTTCTCCAGTGTTTTCAAGACTCTCTGGATGTTATCATTAGATGGAAAAATTTTTGATGGATTCTCACAAGATGAAACTTTTAATGATTTTAAGTTGGAAAAGGAATTTTCAGAGAGTCCATTCCATATGATCTTCATGTTTTCAGAGTCGATTGTCATCCTTTCCAGAATTGGAAATTCAACCTACATTGTTTTGTTGAAGAAATGAGAATTAGTTCCCACAATTTAATCTAAATTCAAGTAAAATAAAGAAAATTTACCTTCTTATCTGTACTCCCAGATTCTCCTTCTAAAACGAATCCCTTCAGCTTTGGACATTTCTCTATAGCCAACTGCTTCAAGGATGTGAACTTACCATAAGAATTTCCCAAGCATAATCCAGTAAGGTTTTGAAGGTTTTCTATGTGCAAGAAGTGGAATGATTTGCCAAAAGAATCCTCAGGGAGGTTGTGACATATGATCTTGAAGTTTTTCAGTTGGGAAATTTTCAACCTTTCCAAGTTAGGAAATATAACCTGAATTGTTCATTATAGATAAATGAGAATTAATTGCTTCCCAAAATTTAGTCCAAAATGCAAGTATGTGAAAATTTACCCTCTCATCGAAGAGAGCAGTGATATCTGTGTTTGTAGACTCCACGAACCCTTTCAGCGCTGGGCAGTTCTTCATAGCCAAATGCTTCAGTGATGGGAATTTACTACAAGAATTTTCGGAGCAGAATCCAATGAGGTTTTCAAGGTCGTCTATGTCCAGGAAGTTTAATTTGAGAAGTTCTTTTTCTTTGTGCCATATAATCTTCAAGTTTTTCAATTTGGAGATTTTTAGTCTTTCCAAATTTGGAAAGTTAACCTAAATTGTTGATCAAAGACAAATGAGAACTAGTTCCCAACATCAGATCCAAAATGCAAGTAAAATGAAGAAATATAAATTACCTTATCATCAAAGAAAGTAGTTTTATCTGTGCTCTTAGAGTCCAACACTCCCTTCAGCTCAGGGCAGTTATCTATAGTCAGTTGCTCCAATTTGGGGAAGTTGATAGCCTTTTCTTCTGCATTTTCTGTGACAATAATTTTTGTCATCATCTTGCAGTCCTTTATTTCAAGGAATTCAAGCTTCTCTAAGCATTCAACGATAGACGACGAGAATAGACTATCCAATTTAACACAGTTCTCAATTATAAGTTTTGTCAGGTTCCATATGCTGTCAGATGTTGGTGAACGCCCAGTCTGCAGCTGCACAACACCGTTCTTTTTAGAACATCTAACAAAATTTTGTTCACCAACATGAAAAAACAACAAAAAGAGTTTAGCCACATTAGTTCTATTAATTTAAAAACCTTGTTTTGGTAAAGGGCAAAGGCAAAGGTACAAACTATTGCAATACTTATAAGCAATTAACTTCTAATGTGAAAAGTTGAAAATGAAAATACACATTTATTTATATAGTTGTAGAATATAAGGTATGATTAGGTTAAAAGGAATGAAAAGATTGGTCACATGCAAGAAATACAATTTATTCAGTATGTTTGAGACAATAAATAAATCAATTTTCAATCCTGTTCCAGTTATATAGTTAGATTGATGACTAACAACAGCAATCAGGGTACTTATTAAACCCATCCAATTAGTATTTGTTAAGTTCTTACTATTTTGAGATACTTTCATGAGTTGCTAATAAGCACATTTTGCTATGTACCAAAAAAATGAAAAATGCACATTTTGCTTTTCTATTTGGATAAAAAGTGCTAGTACTTTTACAAAGGCATGGTTAGGAAAAAAAAAAAGGCATTAACAAGAAAGTTCAGCAAATGCTATATATCATATGGCTTCCGTCAATGAAAAGAAAGAAATAGATGAAATGCATACTTTTTCTTTGAAAAGCGTCTTGGAGCTCGTATCCTTTGCATGGCTGAAGCTAACAAACTCTGGCAGATTTTGTAACCTCAAGCACTGAAGTTGGGCAGCAAGCTCAGACCCATCAGTTGCTACATCAACAATATCATTAGCGCCTGCTTGCTCCCCATCATCTTCATCATCAACAATCTCAACGATTTTTTTGCAATCTTTTACTCTAATTTCCAGATGGAAAAGTTGCTTGAAAACAGAGAAGGAGAACAAGTTTTTCAGCTGATTGCAATCTTCTACAGTAATGATTCTTAACTTCTGAAGAGACATTTCTTCAAAACAACCATGAAATATCCTCTCCAACTTGTCCAATTTCTGAAGAAATAACACTTCCAAGTTTGGAAAAACGTTGCTACGAGTCCGCTTCACTGAGTTAAATATATATTGAACCTCTGGGGCCTCCTTCACAAGGAGATACTTTAGTTCTTGTAAACCGTTGTCATCTAAGTCATTAACTAGACTCTTGACACCCTTCAACCTCGTCTCTAGATGTAGTTCCTCTGTCTTCTTTAACAACTCTCGAACTGAAAAATTGAAGTGAGTGCTTGAATCCAGCTTGAGCTTCAATATTTTTGATGAGTTTTCAAAAAAATTGCCCCAACATTTCCACACATCTCCTATGAAAATCTTGTATTGTTTCAACTCTACAGAGAACAAGCCATCTGGAATCATCTTGATCTCATGAATGTGAACCTCTATAGCCCTCAGGTTTGTCAACCCTTTCAACTCATCGAGACTAGCATTTCTCCGAAATAGGTTCATGTTGGTGCCATTCCATTGGTCGAAGCTGTTTCCCAAATATAGTTCTTCCAATTGGGACAAACTTGACAAGATACCCGGAGAGATTACTTTGAGTTTGGTACAGTTACCCAAATCCAACAACTTTAACTTGATCAGCTTCTTTGTTTCCCATGGTAGCTCTTTGATATCACTTCCCGCAAGGCTGAGGACGTGCAAATTCTTCAGCTCCCCAATAAGACAGCCTATGTCCAAACCTTCAAAAACACTTTGATCCAGACACAGGGTATGAAGGTTTATTAGGTGTAAAATTGACGAAGGAATTGACAAAAAATGCATTTTAGTCAAACTCAAGACTCTGAGTCCTTCTGTTCCCTTAAACAAGTTTTCTGGAATTTCTAGAGAACGATCATTGTTAGATAAATGAAAGAAAGTGAGCTGCGGACATTTCAACTTATCAGGAAGCCTTGCATTACCAATATTTGAAAGGTAAATCCATTTCAATTTTTCTGCTGCCTTGATTTCTAACTTGTGGTCAGGTGCACCATTTCTCAAAGCTAACACATCATTGTCCTTACAAGAGATTGATATGACAACTTCTCGAATTGGATCACGAATATCAAAGTGCATATTGTCACCACCATCCAGCAACAACGAAGAGTCTTTGAGTTTTTTCACTGAACTCACTGCTTCATCCTGTGCAGCCTCAATAGAGTTTGCTCCAGGGAATAACCCCAAGCCTATAGCATATTTCAACAAGCCATGAATGGATGCATTATGAGACATTAGACTACAAAGCAATAGAGTTTGTTTGAGTTCATTGCTTTCCAAATCACCATATCTTAACTCGATCGCTGATTTAAGGCTTGGTGACATCTCATTCCAGTTTTTCACCTCAGAATCAGAGCTGTTTTGACTTCGAAGAAGCTTTAGTAGAGTGGTCCTCCACTTTAGTGGGATCTTATCTTTCAAGGAATTTGCAAAGGTGGCAATATCAATGGGCAATCCCTTACAGTTCTTGACAATCCTCTCTGCAATAGGCTGTAAAACATTATCTTCGGCCTGGTCACCAGCTATCTTCACAAACAGTTCCCATGCTTCTTCGTCTTCTAATGGGGAAACTTCAATATTCTGAGTATGCTTTGCAGGTGATGAATTATCAGCAGATCTAGCTGTCTCCAAAACCATGCATTCAGTTTGTTCTTCTACTAATGAGTTTCCCTCATTCTTTTTCTCTGTAGTCTGCTTCTGATTGTTTCCAAACGGAATCCCAACTTTCTCCAAATCTATTCCTTCCCAAATATCATCTAAAATGACAAGAACGTTCTTGTTTGCCAGCCTTGACTTTATCTGAACAGCAGGGTCCTGCAATGCGATTTTATCAGTAAGCTCAATACCCAGATTACGTGCAATTTCATATTGAATTCGTCTCAAGTCTGGATTCCTTGTCTCTTTAGCCATAACTACTTCATCAAACAACTTCTCTTGCTCGGCTCGTCTTTTAACCTCCTCCACCAGCATTGTCTTCCCCACACCAGGCCCCCCATGTACTCGTACGGTTTTTATTCTTGGATTTTGCAGTGCATCCATGATTTGTTTCAAAACATACTCTCTCGAATTAAATTTCCTGAAAACTGGGAAGGATCCACGAGCTTTTTGTACAAGTTCAGCAATATCCTTCCTGAGGTTTTCAAGAGGATTGGGATCATATAAATTCTTCTCAGAATCCCTTACTAATCTGTCTGCCGAGTAAATTAACTTGTCTGCACCATCCAGCCAGTTCTCGAACTCTGACTTGATCCTTCCCCCTCTGCTGGCAGCTGCATCAATATGGCGCTTTACTAATTTCTTTTCATCCTTCAGCTCAGCAACTTGTTTCTTCAGATTCTCAACATAGTCAACTTTGCGGTTGCGTTGAATCTTGAAGAGACTCATAATTAGATGTTTGACAATTGGACTAAAGAATGGAACAACTTGGAAAATCAAATGGACAGACTGCAGTGACGATTAGTTTGAGCTAATGGAAAGTGGAAATTAAAAGTGGGGTTTTTTTTGGGGCGGAAGGAATTGGCGAATAACATGGCAGTGAGGATTAGTTTGTGATAATGAACGGGGGGAAAGTTTGTTTCTTTTTGGATTTTTTCGGTTAAGGAGTGGGGAATATGGAAGTGGAAGGAGAAATTAAACGCGAAGGCTGAAGAGCAAATTCTTAAAGTGAGATAATATAGATCTGAGAATTAGTTTTGAGATACTGAAAATATGGGAAGCTGGATTTTTTAGGGTTTTTTTTGATAAAGGAGTGGAGGATATAGCAGTGGAAAGAGAGATTAAAAGGCAAAGGTAAAGAGCAATTAAACTCTGGAATTGAGAGGCAGTGGCAAGGCGCAAAGTCAGGACCTGGAAGGACGAGAGTAAAGCAGTATTAAGGCTGAATGAATAACGTTAGATTAAACTCAAAGTATATATACAAGTTGTATGGAAGTCCAATAACACTTCTAACCCTATGCTATATGTACACGTCTATTATTATATACATTATCAGAAGAGAGCTTTCTAGCTCTTTCATTTTGTCCATGTGTTCTTCTTTACACCACATTGGACAATTTTCTTGATAATGCCATGTGTCCCTAATAGTGATCCAATGGCCACAGTTTTTTCCATAGAATTGGGAATTCAAAAACGATTAATGGCCATGATTTGGTGTGATATAGTCCACAATAAGTAGAAATTTTGGTTAAATGAATGTTTGACACGTGGTAGAAATGAATGGGAAGAGATTAACTATTCCACAAAATCAGGGAAGCTACTGATGTGGTGTTGAACAAGTCAGTTTAGTTGAGAAAAATCAGAAATGGTTTTAACAAGTTTGATTTTAGGGATTTTTAGCAACCAAAATTCTATTTTTGGTAAATGACATGTGGTAGAAACCTATTTTACAAAGAAGGATTCAAATCTGTTGAGATTCCTTTGATTTAATCAAGCATGATAATAGGGTAGTTGGAGAAAATCATGATTGGATCAAGTTTCTAGCAATGGCATCAATTATGTAGACCCATAAATATAAGATTTCAAGTACAGTTCAAGAAGCTTGCCCCTCTCAAGACTACATTTCAACATGTCTTCGCTCAACACTAGTTTAGTTCATAGATAGTTCTTATAGTGACTTTGCAACCTTTTTTTAATAAGTGTAGAAGAGATTCAACTCCCTCAATGGGTTCTTTATTTTTGTTGTTTTTGGTTAAGTTAGCTCCAATAGTTAAATTTAATATAGTTGTTCTCTTCCTGTTAGCAAACTTTGTTTTTTTGTCAGTAATTTACATTTCTATCTAGTTGCCCAGATTTAGTTTTTTCTTTGCTAACAAGTTTATGTTTCAAACTTTAGTTGTAATTAATTGTTCTTAAGTTTTCAAGTAAAAGATCCTAGTTTCATTTCATTTCTGTTCGTAACTAGTTCTTTACATTTCTACTAGCTGGATTTCCATTTCTGCCAATGCTCTTAGTTTTCAATTCTAGCTAAATTTTAAGATTTCTGCTGTACTCTTTAGTTTAATGTCATTTTATTACCTTAGTTTTAAATCATCCTTTATTTCTGCCATGCACTCCCTTTTCCTCTTTTTTATATTTAGTTATTTTGCTGAGCAAACTAACTTCGTTGTGGCCTTAGATGTGGAAGGTCCCTTATGTTCTTCCAGGGTAATTATTC